AATATAAAGGCTTGCAGTTTATCATTCTTAATAGCTGAATAATACTCCATTGTGTAAAAATACCACATCTTTCTCAACCATTCCTCAGGTGATGGGCCTTGCCAGTTTCTGAAGCAATCTAGAAGTCCTCTTTTGTGAGTGTCATTAGTTGTGTCATTATGGCTGCCCTGAGGTCCTAAATTGATTCAACATTTACCTTTCTTGTTTTTTTTTTACAATAAAACAAATGTTTTATTAAAATATGGATTATTTATTTTGTACAAAACACAGTAACACTTCTTCCCTCCTGCCCTGTGAGGCCAGCATCCCACAGACTCACATTCACATAATCCTGCTTTCCGCGATAGGCAAGACAAGGAGAGAGAGAGAAGCACAGTTCTGAAAGTTATACCACAGAACCAGAGCGGGACACAAAACCAGGCAGAGGCAGTGGGGCCCTTGGTTGGCACTGTGCCCACAAACCATAGTCCTGCTTATCTCTTCTCAACAGGAAGCATTTTTTTTTTTTTAAAGAACAGAAGTTTCGGAGTGCTACGGCCCAACTCTTGGGGTAGCAGCTTTCTTCCAGTCTCATCTAGCCGGATGTCCTAAGAGGTCACCTGGAACTTCTCTAAGAAATTCCACCCTGGTTTACATCTCTGTCAATTTGCTCATCTTCCTTTCAGCTTCAAAACACACACACACACACACACACACAAAACCCAGAAGAGCAGTGCGTTGCAAAGGGATGTCAACTAAGGTCTGTTCTGGAGGGAAATTCCTTCTTAGAAGTCACCTGGCCAAACATGCACAGCAGAAGCCACGGACTGTGCAGACAGGTCCAGCCGGAAACACTTCAAGTACCGAGACTGTTACTCCGCATCTGTCGATTTAAAGTGGTCATCATCCACTGTAGAATAGATATGGCCCTCGTTGCTAAGAAAATCCACGGCTTGCTTGATCGTGGCTATAGGCATGTGGTGCAGCTGGTTTTTGAGATCTTGAAAGTTCAATCCTTCAGGCCTTGGACAAGCCTTAATCAAATTCAGCACCTGGTTTTGGGTCACGGTGAGGCCATTGGCTGGCATCAGGCTGTTCCCACCGAAGTTTCCCATTTCACCCATTCCTGGATTGCTGATAGATGCTCTCCCTGTTGAGGGCTGGGTGATGGGTTTGCTCAGCATCATGTGTGCATTGACCACTTCCAGGATATGCGTGGTGAACTCATTCATATCCTCCAGCGGCATGATCTTAAAGGCTACCAGGCTCTTTTTGTTCTGAAAGGATCTCAGATGGCCAGCCACCTTCACATACGTTTCTGGAGGGACCACAGTATTTTCTCCACCGGTGCCATCTGTGTCAACCCACTGGCGGACATCCATGGGGGCAGCTGTCATGTCATCTATTTTGTAGACGATGTTGGTTGGAGCCTTCTCTGCATGTCTGATTATTCCCACAATAGTGACCTAGATCAGGGGGGATAATAAAGCTTGGTTCGGCTGGAAACTAAAGCAACACCTATGTACTTTTAAGTATACTACATCTTCTTTTGATTAAATGACTTTCCTATAAATTCTCTTACATACCTGTGAAATCTCAACATTCCCAATTTTGAACACTTCATCAACCAGAGTAGCAGAAAGCAGTTGAGATATGGTACAGGGTACAATGTACTGGGCTCGGGCTCTTGAGTTCTTCTCGGCCTGCGACGGTGTCGGCAATCCGAAGCCGCCCGGGGACTGAGTGTAGCTGACGCCTCCCCCGTAGGTGGAGCTGCCGTAGCTTTCAAAGCCACTATTCCACATCTTCGGCGCGACTGCGTCGGGAAAGGAAGGCCAGAAGGTCCCGTTGGGGGAGGTTCGCAGAACACTTCAGGATCCCGTCGCCGCGACTCCCTCGCATCCACTTTTTTTCTGGCGCCCAACATTTACCTTTCATAGTCATTTTGACTTTAGGGGAAGAATCAGAAGCCACAGGGCCGGGGAGATAGCTCAGCAGCATAAGAGCCGGCCTGGCAAGTAAAAGCTTGTGAGTTAAATCCCCAGTTCCAATAAATAAATAAATAGATAAATAAATAAATAAATAAATAAATAAAATAAAGCCACAGTGTCAGATCTGGGGAAGCAGGTGGATGAGGAGCTGCTCTCGTATTTTCTGAGCTTGTCTTCTTGTCTGATGCTGCATGGCAGCAGGATTCACTTGATCCTTAATTCTACCTCATGAAGATATACAAAGGGACTTGACAGGGTAGGAATAAATAGCTTTTGTGAATGTAAAAGGGACCAAGTGACCAAGGGAGGGGATGGAGGAGAGGGAAGGGGATAAGATCAGTAGGGTGTGTTATGTACATGGACCAACTTTTATAAGGAATGTAATCATTACGTGCTGCACATCTACCAATAAAAATAAAGATTAAAAGAAGAAAAAGGGACAGGAATGACACGATAAGTGGGTTTGAAACAATGGGGAGTACTTTGAGGGGAGTTAGTGATAATGCATCTTTCCCATGATCAATTTTAAAAATGTAAACATTCATCACACATTTTGATCATATTTTTTCGATCATATCTTAATATGTTCAGCTGATCTATAACTTCCAAGGCATACTCAAGAGAGTAACGTATTTCCCATGTACAAACTAGGAGAGCAGTCCAGGGCTTGCCGAGGACCCTCCGGTGGGCTGGCTGGTGTCCTCACCAGGCATCATCCATGATTCAAGAGTCACTGCAGCTGTCCTACCCAGACCTTCCCAGCGGTGAGCGGTCATCGAAGTGCCTTCCTCTAAGACAGGAACCTTAGGCCTCACCTGGGCTAGTGTGTGCTCAGCTGAAATCCCAGTATTGTGGGAAGACTGGCTGTTGGGAAACACTCAGCAGCTTCTGCAACCAGCCTGCTTGTGATAAAAGAACGAGGATGTGCAAAGAAACAAGAGACACTGGAAGGCCTCCACCTTTAGGCAGGATGGCAGCTGCTTTTAGGCAGATGGAGATACACTTGGGGAAGGGTACAAATAAAGGGAGAGAAGATGCAGAGCTCTGTGTCGCTGCATTACAGATTCACGATACAGTTGTATGCCTTAACGTCTTGGCAGCGGAAGCTGAGCCACATCTATACACAAAATATTGCAATTACTGACATCACACATACGTATATTTAATTAGAACAGAGTAGAATAATCCAAGGAAAATATCAAAGGTGGAATAACAGGGACAAGCCAACTCACCACAAGAAAGACAACAAAATATGCTAAGAGAAGCACCAGCTTAAAGCAGTGTGCTGTCTCAGAGACGTATTGTAGTAACAAAGCTATAGTTAAAGCAGTATAGATTTTTTTTGACACACATTTTATTATGGGCATCTATTGATGCTGGCAATTGAACCGAGAAGACCCAGAGGCTCAGGACAGGCTAGAAACATATTGCCTAAGAATATTCCTTAGTTATTTTCTGCTTTGAAATCCTGACGATGAGCAGGGAACATTCAGGTGGGAGCCAGAAGGATTCACAAACATGCATTGTCTCCCAGGACATTTCCATGGTCACCTGGGGATGAAGTTGGGCACTGCCCTTATTAGGGCTTCTGTTTCATTGGCATTCGGTGCCTGACACAGAAGAAAATGAAAGAGTAGAGCCTTGGATCATCAGAAGGGAACCCTCAGCTAGAAGAACAGCTTTGCCCTGCTGGTTGGATGTGGACCGTGCAACCCTTTGGACAATCGTTTCATACTTTTTGCTTATTAAGAATGCATTTTAAAAAAATGTCTATTTTGCTGTCAGGTTCATCTCCCAAAGAAATATCTCCCCAAGAGATTCGGACCCAGGTTCGCAGTGGTGTGGGTAGAATGCTCATAGCTCTATTGTGCAGGGAAGGCGAGGTGGAGTGATTTAGAGGAAGTAAGGTATTATGGGGGGACCATGGGATCCAGGGGTGGGAGTAGAGTGATCATGAGGAAGGGAGTGATTTGCAGGGAAGAAGGCCCCAACCAGAAAGGGGGCCAGAGTCCTCGGTAGAATGGTACTGTGTTTGGAGTCACCCTAGACATGCCCCTGGATAGAGGGAAGGAGGGGTAGGGGTGATTTAGAGGTAGTCAGGGTTACCATCATCAAGGAACCATGTATTATGGTGTAGAGGGTGCCTGCTATAGGCAATGATTAGAAACTGAGGGCAGAAAGTATACATCGCAACACGTAAGCGTCTTGGCCAAGTGCTAAGTGAGCATGAGATCTAAGCACAATGACGTTTACATCAATGCAAACGCACACACACAAAGCCACCATGCAGGAACATACACAAATAAAAAGATGCACATGAGGAGAGACACCCACTCTCCCTCCAGTGGCCACTCCATGGGAACTTACTTGGACCCCCTCTGGCTCACTCATGGAACCCTGTCTTCCCCCAGCTCCTGCCGATCTGACCTTGCACGCAGCACCTCTGACTCGCACAGCCTTGCTGGACTTGGCATTCCTTGTTTTGCTCTTTCAGAGCCTGGCCATGGCCATGTCCTAGGCTCCACTCTGCCACATAGCCTTCGCTTTGACATGTTGTTGTTGCATCTCGGGCTTCGGAGCATACCACTCACCTTCTGCTCTGGCCTTTGTCACTCCCAGTTCATTGCTGACAGCTTGTTGTGGTCTTGCTCCACTACCCGGCCATACAGGTCAACTGGTGTACAGAAGATGGACCTGCTGGAAACTGTGCGATGGATCATTGGTGGCCAAATAAAGTCATGCTCGCTTCAATCTGCTGTCTTTCCTGACCATTTGTCTGCCCTCTGCCGTCTCTCGCCAGGTTTGAAGCTCTTGCTCTGCAGGGCATGGTCCCCGTCTGTTTGTCTTTTCCTTTAACTCCTGCATAGTGAATCTTTGACTTTTATTTAATCCTTTGACTTGTGCTGATATATTTTGATACAAATTTCCTTTCGCTTCAAAAGCAAAGAGATAATTTCAAATGCATCCAAAAGCTGAGCTATTGGAGAGGAGAAGAGTGAGCATGGTACTGCAGGCCACATATCCCATGCCCCTGTGTCATGAGGACCATTCACCATTGTCCATCCAATAGATGAGACAGCTTCCAGGCATTTGGCACCATCTATTAGGGACACAGTGGCTGAGAGGCTGCCTGGAGGTCAGATACTGATAGAAGGAACTTCAAATCCCTGTCTTGTACCTGGTTTCAGTTGAAACTCAATGAAGGAGAACCCTATTTTTTATGGCTCCTAATCAATGGAATTTTTGATGCTTTCAGGACATTGCCTAGAAGAGGATTATATAAATATGTGTGTAGGAGGTGGGCAGGCAGAGGAGGGTGCAGGGCCAACAGAATGCCCGGCCACATGTGTTCCTGGCACCAGGGGAGCCTCCTGGCTGGATATCTAGCCAGGTTTCTGCAAGGCTCGGTGCCACAGCACAGCAGCATGACACGGGGAGTGGTGAGGATGTGCTTCAGTGCTTTACGACAATCTGCTGTCTGTTCTCTAGGGGAGAAAGTCAGGCTGCTGGAAAATAGTACTACTACCGGCAGCAGTCCATAATGAGTAAGAATTGGCTCCGAGATAACGGCTGCAGTCAATGAGTGTATGGAGGCTAATTAAACACCAGAGCTAAGACGGGCTGCTCTGCCTCAGCTGTGGTGATTGCGCCACGTGGCCCAATCACTGCTGAAGTGTAAATTAGCCTGAGCCACGAGTAAGTGAGTTAACACTACCCCATCACGATATGAAGGAGCGTCCATGATGCCAAGGCTGGGTTCCTCAGAGCCCAAGGAATTCTGATGAGCAAAGTCTGACAAAAGGAATCGCATCTGAAGAGACATGAGAAGCAGGAGGGGAATCTAGTTTGGATGGATGTGGCTATACTTCCACAAATGTTTTGTGACTTATTTATGAAATAGGTGACAATATTGAAATTAGGGTTAGTCTGCAGCGTCTGAGTCATGTGGTCGTGGTGGTATGGTAAACAGGGAATGTGAGATGTTGTGGAGTTGGGTGGTAATAATGAATGAAAAAAATAGACCAATGCTCTGCTGTCAGGGGAGCTCCAAATTAAGCAAGGGGTCTTGGTGATGCTACTGATTCAGCAGAAAAAAATCTCATGAAGATGTGCTGAGAAGATATGTCTAGATTGTGCCCGGAGAGAGGGATGACATCTAGGCCTCAGGAAGGCCAGAGCACCAAGATGAGGGGTGATGGAGGTGATGATGGTCTGCCTGTCTGGTTGCATGTCTGGACTTCAGCACTTAATTGTGCAACCTTGGGCAAACAACTCAAATCATCTAATTCTAATTTTCTTTTCCACCTGTTTTGAAAATATTGAGTGAGATGATGCATGTTTGGGGTTTAGCACACAGGAAATGCTAAATAAAATTTTTGGTTTTAATCATTATTAGTCTTTCACCCTCTAATCAAATATCTTAATAAATTAGGTGTTTTTTCTTATCCAGTGGGAACCCTGGATGCACAAAACTCCAACTTCAACAAGGACAATGGTAGTCTAATAGCTGGCTGAAAGTTCAATGGTCCAAATCTGTAAGCTGCTTCTGAAAATCAATTCCTCCAGAGTTGGAAAGATCAGAGGGTTCAATCTCTGTGGCTGGGATCTTGCAGTTGAAGCTGAGATTTTGTAGCACATCCATCCCTGCTGCCAGTGACCTCTATTTTGCCTCTTTCAGAGCCTGATTTGCTTGGCTCTGAAAGAGAAGCAGGTTTTATGGGGGGACCATAGGATGTTGGGGTGGGAGTGGGGTGATCATGAGGAAAGGAACAATGGACAGGGAAGAAGGCCCCAATCAAAAGGGCGGCCAGAGTCCTCGATAGAATGATACTGTGTTTGGAGTCCCCCCCAGACCTGCCTCAGAGATAGGAGGAAAGTCTAGTAAAACACAAGGAGGTGTTTCTGTTGGGATCCAGGCAGTG